TCTAGTGTCCTTTCTCATGGCAAAAGGCTCACTCATCCTTATCCAATAATTTTCTGCTGCTTAAGTTACCTCTTGTGCGAGACTTGCTTTTCTTCCTATTTGCAGACTTTCTTTCTTTTGATCTTCCTCTCACCATTAATGCTTCAGAATTGTTCCTCTCTTATCTATCAAGATTTCGAACTTCATGATTCATCATAGCACTTGAGATCTCATCAAATTTAATAGTTTCTCTACCATAAATCCATGTCATAACGAATGATTAATAGGATTCAGGCAAAGAATTCATCACGATCAAAGCTTTGTCTTCATCCTTGATCGTCTCTTCTAAGTTCAACAATTCAGCAATCATCTTGTTAAACTCTTCGAGATGATCAATCATCTTTGTTCCTTCCTTATACTGGAAACGATAAAGCTTACTCTTAAGATAAAGCCTATTTTCTGCACTCTTTTTCAAATACTTGGACTCCAATGTATCCCATAATTCCTTGGCCGATGAAATATTCATTACACCATACTTTTGTGCCTTGCCAAGACACAACCGAATTGTGGAACATGCATGCGCATTCAGCCATTGCCATTCTTCATTCTTCATCGACATAGGCATATCTCCAAGCACAAGTAGTCCTTGTTGTATCAGCACATCTTTAACTTCGCACTGCCATATAGCGAAGTTATTGGTCCCGACGAACTTCTCGATCTCGAACCTAGCACTTTGCACCGAGGTTTTGGTTACCTCGGTGCCCCCATCATCTCCACTCTTGTTGGAGTCTTCAGATTTTGTCATTGTTTTGGCTTAATCACCGAACCTTGCTCTTGATACCACTTGTCAAACACAACCAAGATGATTAAACCAAGAACAACCACACAAATATGAATAATGGAAGCTTGCTTTATTAACTATAAAATTACAAAAGAACTCACAAACTCACACATTAGTTCTTCCGCCTTACAAGTCTCTCACAATTCACACACCCTAACGTTAAGGCTCACACATATTTATACTAAATAATCTAGCCACAAACCTAATCCTAAACTAAGTTAGAATCCAAAAGCCACCTGGAAACTTGCAGCCAAGTCTCCAACACCTATTACAACTAGGTTCCCACTTTAGTTAGGAATACAAACCTGATTTCATACCAATTCCAACAGTATTAACTAAAATAAATGTTATGATAAAAATTGACAATAACTTACAAGTTCATGCCTAAATCCGCAAAGATTTTTAAGAGCAAGTCCACCGGAGTCCAATTCACCCAGCACCTTGTCTAAAAACAAGGCCAGCACCCTGTCAATTTAGTCCACCCCATCAACTTGACTAGTACCCAGCCCGAGCTGGTCTCTGGGCCAGCCCAAAAGAGATTGACCAAAAAGCTGGGCTGTTTACCTTGCGCGTGCGATTCACGGGGCCGTGGCGCGAGTGCCCGACAGCCTTTCAGAGGCAGGGGCCCGCATCTCAGGCGCACTCAGAACTCACGCCGAGCAGGTGACGTGGCTCCCTTTTTGCCGTTGGATTTCCAATGGTAAAAAAAAATTAAATTTTACTTTTAAAATAGATCATCCGATCATAGATCAACGGTCCACGTTTTTTCACAAAAAAGTAAAAAAAAAAAAAGGCCCAAAGGTAAAAAATATGACCGTTGGCCACGTGGCAACTCCCTGCTCTTGGATTTCAATATTTTTCAAATCCAACGGTCCAGATTAATTAACTCTATTAAAATTTATTAAATATTATAAAAAATACATAAAAATTATTAAAAAATACATAAAATTTAAAAAAAAATACATAAAATTTAAAAAAATGTTTTTTTTTTTGGGTTTTTATCACAAATGGTCCCTGAAATTGACCCACCCCATCAAGATGGTCCCTGAAATTGAAAATCAATCAATGTAGTCCCTGAAATTGGGTGTCGCAAATCAATGTAGTCCTTCCGTCATAACTCCGTTAAAAATTCTGTTATGTGCTGATGTGGCAAGTGACGTGGCACACTTTATATTAAAAAACTAATAAAATATTATTAAAAACTAAAAAAAAATCATTTAATATATATATTTTTTCTTCTTGTTCTTTTTTCTCTTCTTCTTCTTCTTCGGGTTGCAGGGGGTGGGGGAAAAGGGTTTTTTTTTTTTTTTTTCTCTCTTCTTCTTCAGGTTGTAGGGGGTGGGGGAGAAGGGGGAGAAGGTTTTTTTTTTTCTTCTTCTTTGGGTTACAGGGGGTGGGGAGATGGGGATGAAGGCTTTTTTTTTTTCTCTCTCTCTCTTCTTCTTCGGGTTGCAGGGGGTGGGGGAGAATGGGGAGAAGAGTTTTTTTTTCTTCTTCTTCGGGTTGCAGGGGGTGGGGGAGAAGGGTTTTTTTTCTTTTTTCTTTTTTCTCTTCTTCTTCGTCGGGTTGCAAGGGCTGGGGGAGAAGGGGACGGGGTGGGTGGGGTGGGGTTTGACAAACATGGGTTTTTTTATTTTTTTATTTTTATTTTAAATAATTAATTATTATTTTAACATTTAAAAAATATTAAATGATTTTTTTTTAGTTTTTAATAATATTTTATTAGTTTTTTAATATAAAGTGTGCCACGTCACTTGCCACATCAGCACATAATAGAATTTTTAACGGAGTTATGACGGAATGACTACATTGATTTGCGACACCCAATTTCAAGGACTACATTGATTGATTTTCAATTTCAGGGACCATCTTGATGGGGTGGGTCAATTTTAGGAACCATTTGTGATAAAAACCCTTTTTTTTCTATAAATACATAACCCTCATCTTCAACATTTACCACATTTCAATATTTTCTACATTTTTTATACTATCTACATTTCAATATTTTCTACACTTTGAGAGAGCCTCATCCTCCTCTTGGTTTCCCTTTTTCTATCGAGGTTTGCAGCACGTCTTGGTTTGGCTATGTGACCCACGACTTCCATGACACGGTGGGAATGTGAGGCCTTCTGCCTTCTGCCTTCTATGGTGATCATCCTCATCCTCCTCCATGAAGAAAGCCTCATCTCCACCTCCACCTTCCTCGAGATTGGCCAATTCTGCCTGTTGTGCCAACAACCTTTTCTGTTGCTCCTGCAACTGTTTATACACTTTTCTTGAAGAAGACATTGTAATAAGAACTCAAGATTTGAAAACGATGAACAAGGATTCTGAGCTAAAAAGAATGATTGAGCTTGGTGTGAGGATGGATGTAGGGATGTAGGGTTTATATGGACAAAAAAATAAAGGATGAGGTTCTGGACAATGCCACGTTGCACTACGTGATTGGTTGAAAATCTTATCGAAATCTTGGCTAAATTATCGTAACCCGGAAGTGACACATGTCGTGTCCGGATTGGTCGAAAATCCTATCGGAAATCTATCCACAAAATAGTACGTTCGGATAATGACACGTGGCATGACGTGATTGGTTGAAAATCTTATCGAAATCTTGGCTAAATTATTGTAAAACGGAAGTGACACGTGGCGTGTCGGGATTGGTTGAAAATCTTAGCGGAAATCTATTCACAAAATAGTACTTTTAGATAATGACACGTAGCGTTACGAGATTGGTTATAAATCCTATCCGAAATTAAAACTATTTTTATTTTTTATTCCTTTAGAAAATATTTAAAAATATTTTAAATGGGCTGGGTGCCAACGCATTTTGTAGGGGTGGAGATCGTTTGTGCCAGCGCATTTTTTCGCTGGGTGCCAGCGCATTTTTTTAGGGGTGGAGATGCATTAGCCTATTATTGTTCATTGTAGTCTGTTACGGTTCACTGGAGTGGATAAATGGGCTGGGTGCTGGCACAATGTCCTTAGAGGTGGACTTGCTCTAACACACAATAAAATAGAATTCAATTTTCAAACTTCACGAATTAAATGTTAATTATGATTAATAGTTTAATCAGTGTTCTAAAAATCAGTCTAGGCGGCCGCCTAGGCGCTGGGCGGTGGCCAGCCGCCGGGATTAACTCCTAATCGGGAGAAAAATCGGGGAAGGAATTAGGCGGGCGCCGAGGCGGCTTGGGCGGACCTTGGGCTTCCTAGGCGGCCGACTAGTTGGCCTAGGCGGTCTGGAATTTCAATTTTTTTCTGTTTTCAAACTTGAGAAAGGATGAGTGCAGTGTTCTGGAATTTCTAAGTTTTTCAGGTTCTGTTCTTGCGACGAAAGGAGGAAGAAGATGAGTTTCTCTCTCATCCTTTCATTCTCACGTGACCATCTCAAACTTTCCCATTTAATTTATTTTATAATTTTGTCCAATCACATTTGGATAGCTAGCATTAAGTTGACGTTTTCAAAAAGGAAAAATGGGCTGTCAATACCCAGGTTTAAATTTTTATATTCAAGATGGGGAAAAGCAAAGAATAAAAAAGAATAAAAATTGGTCTCTGTTTGTGAGTCTCTTGCTGATGTGAGTGATGGGAGGTGTTTGCAATGCTTTTCTGACCGTTGGAGGTGTTTGCATTGCTATCATTAAAGCAATGCCAGACATTTCCAAATGTAAGCCACCCATATAACTTGACAGTGCGTTAAGCCACGTGTGTTTGGTTAGGAGATTTCTTTGATGATAGCAATGTACATAGTTTGGGGATGTCTGACATTGCTTTCTAGTAGTTTTATTATGAAACCATCCAATCCATTACGTGAGATTTTTATTTTTATTTTTGAAAAATTAGATATAATCATTCAAAATATCTTAAGTTATATGGCATATATGCTTAATGTGTTTCTAAATTTTAGACTTGTTAGATATTCTTTTTGTATTTTATTATTCTTTTATTATCTTATCTATGGATTTTGTACAAGTATAATTTTTTATGTGTCTATATGCACTTATTTACAAAATATACAAAAAATTTACCTAAATCCGCCTAGGCCGCCTAGACGTCCGCATCCCGCCTAGCCGCCTAAGCGCTAGGCGCCAACCCGCCGCCCGACCAGCGCCTAACGTTTTTTAGAACCTTGAGTTTAATTAGACATAGCCAAGTAAGCTAATTTTAACCAAAAAAGTTGAGGTTTGATCTCTGCTTCTCCCGTTTCTTTTATTTTGTGATCCAGCAGCATAGACGAGACAAAGAGTAATATTTCTCAAAAGTCAAACGATTTCACCTTCCTCAGATGACGGAGAAAAGCGGCGACGGCGACGGCAGCGGTGGGGGTGATGGTGATGGTGGTCCAGCAGAGGAGGAGAAGAATAATAATAATGCTGATGGTGGTGTTCCACCAGAGGAAGAGAAGGAGAAGGAGAAAGAGAAGAATGGAGATCCAGAACTGCTGATCTGCTTGCTTCAACCTGCTCCCGCCGACTCCGATCCCGACTACATTGGCATCCGTCGCCTTCTACTCTCTCGCAAGCCCCAGTCCCCATTTCATCGCCGCCGAGTATTCTCCTCCTCCTCCTCCTCCTCCTTCTCTACTCAACAATTTGCATAATTCAATCGTTCATTTCGTTCATTCCAGTCACATTGTTATTGCTTCTGATTGTTGAAGGATTGGAGATGCAATGGAAAAGGGTACGTCGCGATTCGAAATTACATCCGGCGGCCGAGGAATTTGGAGAGGATGCAGACTCCGAGCCTCCAGACCACTCCCGGAAACAGGTCGGCGATCAATTCATATCAAAGCTTTGCTCATCTCTCGAAACGTGATGAAATCGAAAGTTAATTTTCTGATTAGTGAGTGTTTAGTTTGTTTTCTTAAATTCGTAATGTATGCTGACATCAGGGTAATTTACTGCTTCATGCATCAGTGGGAGATGGATTCTACCTACAAGTCCGCTGTCCCTTTTGTACGACGTCGAAAGCTGGAGTCCTGGCAGGGTATGCAGCGCATTTTGAGTTCAATTTCCATTACGTTATGGGTATTTGTTAATCCTATATAGTGTGCATTTGTTGCACATTCTAATCGTTTTCGGTTTTTTGAATGAGGACATGTAATTCTTTAGCTTTTCGAACTGTAAAATCAATGATCCTTGAACACAATGCAAAAGTTCGTCATTTGTAAGTGCTTTCCTGGATTTTTCCTTTTTTGGTTTTGTTATAGTTTCGTTTTATTTTAGGACGTCCAGAGTGGCAGTCAACCTTCACCTCGCAGAAGTTTTGGCTCCAGTATAAGTGATAGTGACCGCCCACGTCCTCGGCGGGCAGAACCTGCGTACTCGTTTGTAGGAATGCATTGCATCTTTGATCAGTGCACAGCCTCTGGTAACTTTTTTCCATCGAGTACTAGACTAGATGGACCCCCTTGTTGGGTTATTAAGCTGAGAGTGAATGTGACTTTTAATAAGGTTGAAAGTTGAAACCTCATTGGTTTTTCATGTACAGTTACGGTTTTGAAGTTTGGGCACATGAGTTCTGATCTGCTTGCATATGGAGCATCAGATGGAACCTTGACAGTATGCACTGTTTCTGATCCACCTTCAATCCTCAAGCATCTGCATGGTCACTCCAAAGATGTTACAGGTTCGATCGACTGGTATTGCTACTGTTGTCTTTTGTTTTGTTTTTGCAATGATATATTTGTAGCCATGTTTTAGTAGACTCTCGCAGTCAAAAGACTTTAATTTTATTATTCCTTGAGATGTAGAAAACAGAAGTGCTAGGTTGCAATTTGCTCCAAGTACACACTTTGGTACCACCAAAATTCCTTTTTGGTTTAGGCAATAAATTTTGTAGTAGATTAATAGGTTGTATTCTTAGTGGTTCTAATGTTTAAAAACGTAAAGGAAACATGACATGCAACAGAGTTGAACATCAAGTCCGTAATCTATACAAGATGAGAATCTCTTTAGCTTCTCTTTCTATCCGTTTTTGAAATTCTTGTTCATTTTTCAGACTTTGATTTTTCGTCGAACAATCAATACATTGCATCCTCATCAATGGATAAAACTGTACGAGTGTGGGAGATTTCAAAAGGCCTTTGTATTCGAGTAATATATGGAGTGTCTCCGCAACTGTGTATCCGTTTTCACCCTGTAAGTGTGCACAAAAATTAAGAAAGTTCAGCCCTCGAAATTGCCACAATATTTTTGTTATATTGGTTATCTTACTATAAATGCATGTTTAAAGTGTTTTTTTGTTTCATCAATGCAAGTCATTTTATTCAAACCAAGTACTGGTTTCAGCGTAGAATACCTGTCAGGCTTTTTGGTTGCCTTTCTACCAGATTCTCAAAGAATATTATGTTCACTAGCCTGAAATGACCCTCATTTGCAATAACGTTCCCTTTTAAACCTTCACAGATCAATTTAATATTGGCTTTCCCTTTGACAATCCGTGGATGACAAACTGTTACTGCATTTTGAGCTCTTAATAAAGTATTATTCCTCATAAAAAAATCTATGGATGACTTCAGTGCAAAGTGAAAATCATTTACCCCATTTTATATTTATATTGTACATGAAAATACTACCATTTAATGGTTTTTTTTTTTTCTGTTATCTTCTTGATGCAGGTAAATAACAACTTTCTTTCAGCTGGCAATGCAGACAAAGAAGTTACGGTAATGACTGCATACCTTATGGTTTTTTTTTCTGTTATCTTCTTGATAAAATGAACACTATGCCCATTTATCGTAGGCATTGCATTACAATCATAATGGAACATCTCATTAGACATCCCCACACAAAAAGTTTTATTGCTACTTTGATTTTTGTTTATCTTTTTCCAAAACATGAGGGAACCAGTTTTTTTAACTCCAATAATGTCATAGGGTTGCAAGGATATTATCAATTTAATTGATTGCATTTGATTGGTGTAACTTATACATCTACATTTCAGGTTTTCAATTTCAGCACTGGTAGGGTCATTCATAAAATATTCTTTGACAGTGAGGTTACCTCCATGGATTATGCTCACACTGGACAGCTCATTTTCTGTGGTGATGCGACGGTGTGTAATTGCATATATTCATTTACAATTCTCTTCCAATGAGCTGCCTATCCTTTTACTCATATACTCTCTTGGATAATTTGTTACAGGGCTGTATATATTCTATAAGCATGAATTCTCACACAGGAATGTTGTCTCGCTCTCATCGTCACCGAAGTAGCACAAGGCGGAAATCTGCAGTCATAACTGTGCAGTACCGAAGTTTTTCTCTGTTGGCTCGGGGCCCTGTCTTGCTTACGTGTACTCAAGATGGAAGTTTATCTTTCTTCAGGTTTGGCCACTGAACCCGCCCTGTTACTTTTGTTGTATATTCAAAATGTCAAACCACTGATAGTGAGGTTGGTATGCTGTAGTGTTGCTCTGGAAATACAGGGTTATTTGACTCTCCGTTGCTCACTGAAACTAAATCCACGAATATACAGCATCCGGGCTTCCTTCTGTCCACTGCTTTCCCTTGAAAAAGGAGAATATATAGGTTTGTATTCCAATATCAATGTTACCACATACTTCGTTACTTCTTTTCTTTAAGTGTTTGCTGACAGTCATACTGTTACAATGCCTAGTTTCCGGAAGTGAGGATTCAAATGTCTACTTCTACGATTTAACCCGGCCAAAGCATACTTGTGTAAACAAGCTACAGGTTCGTCTTATTTTTACACAAGGTTTTACTCTTTCCTATGGTATGAAATTGGCCCTTAAAGACCAAAATATATCCAACTGCAGGGTCATCGATTTCCGGTTATTGGTGTTGCTTGGAACCATGGAGAGAACTTGTTAGCATCATCTGATTTCTACGGAACGGTTATTGTATGGAAGAGATCAAAAACAGGTTAAAACAAACATATACCAAGAGATACAAGCTTCAACTCACACTCTCGCAATAGCGGGCTATAATTCTTCCATTTTTCCCCAAAAATGAGGTATTAAACGTTATAACGTCTCGTATAATGTACTATTAACTGTATCAATCACGTAAGGAATAGAGTGGCATTACTTGTACAAGTGTTTGTATCTTTTTTGCCAATGTAATATGAAGCCACCAACTTGTTTTGAATAAAGAGAGCTATGCAAATGAGATGTATGCTTTTTGTAGTTGATATAATAAAGCTTGGTTTTCTTCTTATGAGCACAAAACAGTTAATATGGCTGGTGATTAGATAGTCTTTTTATTTTTTGTTCTGTGGTGAGTGTTTTTGTCTAGTCATTAGGACTTCTTTATATATCATATAGTTACACTGAATTGCAGCATCCGTTGTAGTCTAGTTGGTCAGGATACTCGGCTCTCACCCGAGAGACCCGGGTTCAAGTCCCGGCAACGGAATTTCTTTTTTGATTTTTAATATAATTATATATTATAATTGTTTCGCGTTACTGTTACCGTTACCACGGAGCACTTGCGCAGTGTAGATTTCCGCTTGTTGCGGAACTAATGTCTTTCTTATTCTATAGATAAGTAAATTGTAATTGATTTATTGTAATTTCGGTTTATTAAATCTGTGATCTTAATGTCTTATTGTTATTCTTATGATTTCAGAATATATCTTACAAGTATAAAATAGGTATAGCTTTTTTTTTTTTAATGAAAAGATGGGTGCCATTCGAACTGGAGAATCCATTGTTACATCGGACAACATCATCATTGTCATTAACCCACTAAAATTACATGATAAATATTCGCACTCGCACTCACCCTCAAAAGCAGTGGAAAGGCCATGGACCATGCATTGTACAGGAGTTGCATTATGTGTATCGTATATTTTAAATCTTAATTCGCGTGGCATCTTACTCTTAGTATAATAAAATATAAAAAGTAAAAAATACTAACCACTAGAGAGAAAAAATCACAAATCCTCGGCCATCGACTCTGGTCTTTGGCTAAGGGGGTTGGTGGCAATCTCTTTTGGTCTCTTACTTATTTTCTGATGTAGGGCACAGAGGAAAGAAACAAAATAAAATGAAATGAAAACTAAAATATAGGGTCCATTATTTCCTAATGCGAGGAGAGATTTGAAAACTCCAAAGCTCTGTCTCTAGTACCAGCCTACAACATAGACAATTAGAAGAACAAAGCATGAATAATCTCACAAGAGAAAGGCAAGCAACTAAAACAGATAAGCACTCTAAATATTTCATTCAACAAAAAACGTCAAATACCTTAGAAGTGACTGTAATATAAATTTGAGATGGTGGTATTTTGAGCTTCTTGTGGTCTGTGTCCTTGATAAAAGGCTATGAGAAGAAAGCTCGACTTGTGTTGTAGCCTTGTAGGTAATTTAAAAAAATGAACTTTAACGAAAAGCTTTCGGTACTGTTCACTTTAACGAAAAACCACATTTTTACACTAAAAAGTCAATCCTGATACTATTCACCTTACCCTTTATTTTGTCCTTATCATTAAAACTCAAAGTTTTCAAGCCGTTTTTATTAATTTTCCTTTTAAAATATTGCTTTGCCAGTGATTGCAAGATCGTGATAAGTAATACACATTTTCCTGGTGGTACCTTTACAGCTGTGATCCAGTTGACAAAATTTCGTTTTCTTTATGAGCACTATCTTCTTTCATGTTGGTTGGACACGGATCATCCGTGGCTGATGATTGTATTTTAGTATCTTGAGATGATTTCTGCAACGCAGGAACACTGAAACATATAGTGTCCAAACTTCTCGATGCTAGACCTAAGCAGGAAGATCCAATAGGGGAATAAATGCGTTCGGAATATTCACAACTCTACATTCCATAACTACATACATACATACATACATACATACATCCATACACGTCCTCGACCTTAAATATATAGACGATCTACTTAATCACATAAAAAGGTTTTCAAGCTAGTTTTCGTCTTCCAATTAACTCATAGATACACAACTTGTGATGCAAGACATGTCCCCCGGCTCCGTGCTTGCTTAAGCCCTACCAATGATCACAAGGCCACAACCTCTAGTTTATCAGATTGACTTTGTATATACAATATCACCTCCGACGCCGTTTTGTATCCACCTGAAAGACAACATGAATCAAATTCAAGAATACTTTGTGGCCATTGGCTTCAAAGAGATGCTAGAGACCAACAACCATCAATCATAAACACTGCCTTGGTTGTTTTTTCTTGAGTCTTGACAAAATCATGCTTCAAACAAACCCATTAAATTACCTACATTTCCAAATACTAGTCGTTCTCTTAACAAATTGCACGCTTTAAAATTCATATAAAGTCGGACAATTTAATGAACACATAAGTATATTTGCTTTTTATGCCATTGCCTCGTCGCCTACTGTATGATATTCATGAAGCCTGACCAATGATGCCTTCAACCAATAGTCCTGGAAATTTGTATTAAGTTTATTTCTACTCAATGTATGGTTTCTTTTAACACCCTTTTCTGTTCTCTCTATTCAACTTAATCTGGTCTCAAAACTGACACTATATATGCATCAGTAGTCCCTATGTTCTTCGGGTCATTTAATAATAGATAAAGAAATCCGAAACATGTCCAATAACGTGTCAATTTCCAGAGGACATGCAATTCAAATTGAGGCCACAACTCCACATGCAACCAAGAATGATAATGGTAAACCTAACTTCAAATTTTATCCAACACTTACAAAAGAAAAGTACCTTTGTATCAGGGTGTCTGGAAGCAGTATGGGAATTCTGCAATTTCTTTTGACCCTCGGAAGAGCAGCCTTCACAGAAGAAGTGATCTAGTCTTTTGGCTTCCTGTATATTCATGTCTATACAAGCAGGATGAAACCTGAATCAAGTGCAGTAAATTGAATATTGCATCTGTATTATAAAAGGATTGGCAAGGGGAAGACAGTACAAGTGAAAATAGACAAAAAGCATATCACTTAAGAAAAGACTAGGCATCCGTGCTTCGATGCCTTTGTTTTCACTATTCTCAAGCAATAGCCCCTCAAGTGTCAACCTCAGAAGCTGTGGAAAGCAGTGGCTCGGCAACACACCACATGCTCAAGGCAGACCAGCATAAGGTTATACACTTGTCAGTATGCTTCATGCTTATTCCATGTTAGCATTTGAGAATTTGGGACAAATATCAGAGATATATGCATACCGAAAAAGGGTAAAGCGATACGTTCCATCTAAAAATAGTTCCTCTAAATGGTATACTTCTTTAGAAGGAGCAACACTTTGAGACTTCGTCTGGTGCACAAATAAACAAAATGTCTAGCTGATTCACATTCAAGTAGTTCCTCGTAATTACTAACATGATGGTATGGCACATTAACTATGTATATTTGAATGCTAACCTGTAGTAGCGTATGAACACAGTTCCATGAACTAACCAATTACTTCCCCTAATTTCCCCTCAAGGTATGAATAACAGTTACTTTAAAATTAAATTTATAATCCATCCATCCACTTCAATTTCACAACAATTTCCCCTCCAGCATTTAGAGGCAATTTATACCCCAGAAAAACGATGGTGCAAAATAATTAAATCAACCAGGTGAAGATTTTCAAAAATCGGTTCACTCCAGATAGGTCTGTCTGAAACATATAAGAAGTACAAAGTCATAGTCTTCGAGATCTAGTAAAAGGGAACAGTCAAGTTTCAGTGTGCACCTGGTTAGCAACTGAATGCATGTGTAAATTAAAACATGATAAATAAAATCTACCAAGAGATAAAAGAAATATTCAGACGAAGGACCAACTTTTCAACTTTATGATAAGAATCCAATCCACCCTCCGTGAGGCAAAAGCGTGGGGAGTTCACAAACAACTGAATAACTTAAACATTTAACTTACCAATCACTACAACCTTCACACTGAACCATGAGGTCATCAGGGTTGTAAGGCATCTCACATTTGCAATACCTGCCACGTAACATCAGAAACCCAAAAAGAGGCATTTCAATATCAGTCATTCCAAAACCCAATGTGGCAACAACTTGAGCTTGTTCGCAAAAGATCAAATAGAAAGGCTGACAACTTAACAGCCATGAGCAAAAAACAAAAATTGTGGGAAACTTATATAACTAATAAAATATTGGACACTTAAGCTCAAGGCTCAAATATGTTTCGGTTATGATTTCATCAAACTCAAATATTAGTACAACCTATATAAGATAAAAAGTGAAAACGAAATCTTGAACGTCAAGCTACATTGATAACCAGAAGGATAGGAAACTGAGAATTAAAGGTGAAGGACCAAATGAAGATGCATAAAACTAAAATCAATGAAGAAAAGTTTTGAGCTTTTAGTTTTAGAGGCCGTTTGGCAACCATTTCGTTTTCAGTTTTCGATTTTGTTTTTCCTGCTGAAAACTTGCATGGTAACTGTTTTTTCAGTTTTCAAAAACATAACTGAAAGCTACTTTTTTGAGTATTCAAAATTTGGACGACCATCCATCTTGGTTATCATGAATTATGAACAAGATTTAGGCCACTTCAAAGTTTATGCTTACTACTAGGGCTTCCAGTACTAAATTCCTACGCTTAATCGGGTCTCATAGCCCTAGCCCCTGTAACCGTCGCTTCAGAGCCTGATTCTTGCGCTTCAAAAGCGCACTTCTATGGCACTTCCTTGAGCAGTTTTAAGTTTTCAAGATCAAACAAGTTTTCAGTTAAAATTGTTATCAAACGGGCCCTTAGTTTTACGAATTCTCTTAAAGTTTCCAGAGACTAGTACAATGTATGATGGAAGTAACAATGAAGAGTGAGCAAAAGTTCATTGCTGTTATATTCAATGCACTCTAAAAACAATAGAAACCAACCAAATCATATCAACTGAAGCACGAAATCAATACGAAACACCAAATAACAAGAAAAGTTGAACAACTGACAACTCAATCTCCATTCCAATTCAACCAATTTGAAGCAAAAGAAGAACAAACATACACGGCAACGCGGTCGGGATTGAAAGCCCCAGTGGAGGAATTATACTCAAAACGACAGAAGAAATCGTCGTTTCCAACAGCGTCAAGCTTGGTGTAGCTCTTGAAGGTGTGGACCGTACACTTGGCCTCGATGGTGTCGGCGCTCTGAACATCGTGGTGATCGGAGAGAAAGACCTCTTTGGAGCCGTGAAACTGCCTCCGGCCGCCGAGCGACTCCTCCGGCCGATAGTACCACTGGACGTGGACCTTGACGTTGGAGCCGCGGCTGTCGGCCTCGATGCGCTCGATCTTAGCCACGTATGACGGCTTCCCCGGCTCCGACGGCCGCATCAGGACGCAGTCCCCGGCTGCCCCACAAACACAGAAATCAAATTTACAGAGAATCCGAATCAAATTTTGAATATTTGGAATTGGGGAATTGAATTCTGAGTAGTGAGTAGTGGAAGTGTTGTACCTCTGATGGTTTTGTTGATGGGTTTGACGGTGTAGGAGTCGAGCGTTCGTCTCGGAGCTTTGGGTTTGGCCATGGCGGAGATTCTAGAAGCTCATCGCCCGAACCAGACACGCAGAATTTGGAATTTGGAACTTGGAATTCGGAAGAAGAAACGTGGGGGGGATAGTTCCTTCGTACGAGGGGTTGGATTGTAGGGGCATAGCATGGACGCATGCAGAGAGGATAATAGCTCCTTTAGTAGAGAGGACTTTTGCTTCTACGTATTGACTCTCGGGTTTCTTTGTTGACTTTTTTTTACATGAAATTGTTTTGACTTCCCCTGTCGGAATTGTGAGGTTGGACTTGAAGTTATCGGGAATTTTTTTTATAGTGTTTCGGAGTATCGAATACTGCGCAATTTCTAACTCTTAAATTTTAATTAAAAGTTATGATTTAAAAGTTAAAAAGATTGAAGCATCCTTTACTCCATAGCACCGTAAAATTTTTGTGAAATGTAGACCATATATTTGTACCAGATGAGTTGATACTTACTTGATACCCATATTGTGGAGTAGCATTTCAGCAACTTGTTCATTTGGACCTCCTTGTATAATCTTTTCGGCTTACATCCTATTTTGTAAGAAAATAATTAATCAAATTTGAAATCATTCGATCATCCAACAGTCATCCAATAAATAGACAAGTCTCACTTAAACACTAAAATTTTGACAACTTCGACCAAATGGTTAAACGATTTTATTTGGTTGATTTTTGTAGAGTTAATCTTTAAAGGTTGATCAATAAAGTAGACGGTTGTAATCATCAAACAACATTGTAAGATGTGAAGTAGAACTGAAAAAGTAAAACAAAAAAGTTCGGGTGAGAAAGTTGTTAACACCTCATAAGCGCACTAACCATATGTGAAAGTTAATACACATGACGTTGATTAAATTAGAATCTCTAAAATGTCGTAAGACTATTTGTCAAAATATGGTGGTGCTTATCCTGACAATAAACCAGTGTGCGTGTTTATCATTTTCCTTAAAGTCAAAGTTGAATACGAATTTCTCCTGTCATCCTCAACCTGAATCGAAACTTCAACTGGGAAGCTTTGTGATTGAGAAGCTTCCCTTCAGTTGTATGAAAAACATCAGCATTCCATGCATACTTCTGTAGAAAATACTTTTACATTTCCATACACCAATGTCACATTCTATATTTTGCTGCTAAAACACTGCTCTGCCGCTGCCTAATCTAATTTTCGTACGGCATTAAATTTTTCCCGAGTTCGGTCTTGTACCCTTGAATTTGGTTCTGGCAGTTTTTCTTTCGTTCAGCGGTCATGGCAGTTCAAGTGCTTATAGGGGAACAAACAGCTTCCACAGATAACTTTTTTAGTTTGCTTGGACAAGGGTCTGCGCCGAAGTTGGTGTTTGATATGGTCACTGAACACTTCTGCTTACCTAGGCACTCCTGTCAAGATAAAACATCAGCAAAATCTCGATTACTTTGAAACTTTGACATCTCAATGAGTTGATTGGAAAACTTCTGACTCTTTACTGCAGTAAATTAGGAGCAATATCTGAGAAGTACCTTCTGCAGGACAGCATTTGAGTTTGGAGCGTGACAGGTGCCATGCTGAAATTTCCCACAGCTTCCGGATGGAGTTCCAAAGCTTGAAAATTTAATAGCAGAAATGGAGTGTCCATCTGTACAGTGTAGGCCAATTTCGGGCTTCTGTTGCACTTCCGTTTGGCCATGGCTCTCAGTGTGCCAATTTGTAATGTGTGGGTGATTTTCAGAAACCTCGGCACAAACACTCGTCACTGATTTTTTCACAAGAGCGACCTTTGATACATCACCACCAATCTCCTCAAATACTACCAAGAGGTTCTTAGACGGCTTCAGCCAAGAGCGAGGAACGTGGTACCTGAGACATAACAGAATTAAAGTTCAGTTCTTGAAGTGGTTCTTAATGTGTTTCTGCATGGATTTACTGAACCCTAAACCGTGAAAGAAGTTTGTACCATTGTTGAGTTGGATGCTGACAACCAAATTGGCATTTCTTAGGCCTGAATGTACCAGAATACGTGCATGCACTGCAATCGCCATCAGCGTAAATAGTCCAGTATCTTCCGATGCTCTGCCCGTTGATCCATGCTTGGCCCTTCCCCATACTACCCATGTCCAAAGCCAGGGGCTCATCTCCATTTGGTTCATCAAAGTATGCCTACGCATTCAACAACTGTTAAACCACATTGCAGTAGGAGGCCCAACGAACTCCAATTCACCCTCCAACCAACATTCAGTTCTTAGATAGAACCATATGAAATAAGAGTAAAACATTTGGTCAAGCTTCAACGTTGGAAGTTACATTTCCCTACCTTATACCATGTCAGTGGCTGTTGTTTTTGTGCCACTAAGGACCCTGTCATCCAATCCACAGCCGAAATGGAATTTGGAGAATCCAGATTCGAGGCTTCACCTTTTAGCCCAACCTGTATAAAGAAACAAAAGAATAAGTTGGGATTCTTCGAGTACACGAGTCACTGGAATTAAGTGGAAGTAGAGATTAAAGACCGACCTGATATGACCATTGCTGCCAAGATAAATCTCTTGTTCCATGGTCTAGTCCATGTAGAGCAACTGGTCCCAGCACTCCTGTGTTCCGCGTCTCAAAGTGAGGACCATTATTCTTCAACGACAACAAGCGGAAAATAGTTCAGTTAAAAGTTCAACTTTGGATTTGGTTTAAAAACAGAGAGAGAGAGAGAGAGAGAGAGATCAATGTAAGTAAAACCTAAAAAACAACGCAAGCTTTACACAGACCAATCAAAAAATATATTGCACAAGATAGATAATGCAGTATGTAAACCATACACGTATTACAGAGATGCAAGACTAGAAATACGAACTCAAAAACTAATACAAGTTTGAACGATCCAAATTTCATGGTGCTTCCGATGTTCCCTTTGACTCTTAATTACTAAAGAAGTTGAGGTTCCACCATCAACCAATTGGACGTATGGGGAGTAGCACAACTATTTATAAGCACATGCCTTGTCCCTTCTTTCGCCAATGTGGGATTCATATTCTGAACAATTACATCGCAATGATGAAACCCTCATAGTCATACGTCTCTCACATTCCATGGCTAATTCCTTATTGTAACAAAGTATACAATAATCATCACAATTTTTTAAAGAAAATATAGAAATTCGAAACATAATAGCCAACGATAAATTTTCTTTTGTACATCAAAGCATTGGCAGTTGGCGAAAATGGAAATTAAGGAACTAACCGCCAATCCAACAGCTATACTGAGAAGTGAAATTTTATTCAGTCCAGCATGCAGGTTGACATTTCCTGTAAAAGTGAATCTTCTGTGTTCCCTAGTCCCAGAAGCCGATCCTATCGTTATAGAACATATACTTCTTTTAATCAGACTCCAATAGGTATTCCATTAGATCATATCTAGCTGGTGTACTTCTCTAAGCACAAGCTTATCAACAATTTACCTGAGAGCTGGTCATTGATGAAGACATGCATAGCATCTCCAGCTGACTGCACGGTTAGACTGGGATGTTGACCTCCGCGTAGAAATGATTCTGATGGATCTATGTCAACACTATAAGCATCAAGTTATTGATAGTTAGTTTTGACAAAGGGATATACATGTTGGAAGATATGTTGGGTATAAATGTTAGTGTAAACTCACCTGGTTGTGTACCACAAATAATCACTGGAGTCTCTTGTAATGTTCAGTTGATCTAAGAGGCCAACGACCGTGATTGTAGTATCACCAGCCACTGAAGAAACATCTTCATTGAAGATTCCCCACGAGTGCAACTCAGAGTTAGTGGGCAAAAGTTGTGTTTGGAATGTCTGAACTCTCACCTGCAACAGAATGCATGGCTACCTGATTATCATTTCTGCGTATACAATACACTATACCAAAAGTGGAACAAAACCCAGTAAAGAAGCAATTCAAAGTTAGTGTCGTTTGTCACTCACTCGGGCAGTGTTGAATGCAACATTTTTGCAATCTGGAAGGATGCTGATGGACCAAGGGGGGAGGTGAAAGTTCATGTTATTGAAAGTCACTTTTGCAGCTGACTTTGTATTGAAATTTGAGAGAAAAGCTGCACAGCCTCCTGACTTGGAAGAGAATACATGTGCCTGGAATTTGAGTCTATCTGGTTAGAAACAAGCATCAACTTCCATATGTTCAAAGTTGCCAAAACATCAATCTGATTGAAATTGATTTTGTACGAATCTTCAAGGAAGACTTCCTTTTGAAAACTACCAGAGATATTCTTAAGCTTAGTTCATAGTTTCTCAAAGGAGGTGGTAGCCAATATGGCATGGCCTCATTTAACACAGAATCCCCTTGACCATTAGATAGCTTACTTATTTTGTCATGTGTGAATACTTGTTTAACTAACGTATAAGATGTTTTGAAACTCTACTGATTTCTACTGCAGAAATTCAGAGTAATGACATTCTTACTTACACGCTCTCAGAGAAGCAGACAAACCTGTTCGTAGCTCCCTAAGGTTGTGACAGTAGGATCAGCATTCAGCAGAGCTAGCTCACATAGCTTAACAGCCTTATGGAGTTCCTTTAAGTGGCCATACTTAGGTTGCCTGATCAAGCCTATAAATCAGTTATGAGTTAGAAGACTGCAAACTAGTAGTCTAGTACTATTTACACATCACAACGTACATCTGAAGAAAGATCACATTACGGAAGAAATATAACATTATGAATTTGGAAAGTCACCACAGAATGGGTTCAATTTTCTCACCGTATTCGTCGATGGGAGCATCATAGTCATAGCTGGTAGTTATAAAGGGGCCTCCAGCAGTTCTTCCAAAGTTGGTCCCTCCATGGTACTGCATTCAATGATTAGTTACCTCTGGCAGTGATGTACTATATGATAAAGCACGATATATATCGGATTTACATTGACATGAATAAGGTATCATTTGGATTGCAGAATGTTTTGTATAAAAGTTTTCGTACTTTAATGTTTGTCTTCTATCTCAAAGCATACAGACGGCAAAGGGATTGACTGACCATGTAATAATTTATGAAGGAGCCTCCTTTTTGGATGAATCTGGCAACTGCAAATGCCAAATCTTCAACAGGCCGCTGGTAAATTGGGCCACCAAATTCTGTGAACCTTTAAGAAGACAGGACAACGTAAATCTACTACTTCTCAAGCTGCAGTTCTGAGAGCAAAGGCCAATATAGAACTTACCAGCCACTCCAAGCTTCAGTCCACATTGTGGGTTTGTATGGTTTGTTGGGAGAAAAATAATCGCAATAAAAACCATTGCAAGTGTTTATCTGTCAGCAGCATTCAAACAATCCAAAATAAATTAGACTTGTTAGCAACTCTAACTTAAGCATAGATTAACTTCGTTGCCAGTGGTTAATTAGCCATAATTGGCTAATATAAATGCAACTCGTGGGATGCTTAAATTTCCTAGTAGAAAATAGAGTTTTATGGGTAAATAAAGGAGATTGGAAAGATAACTGAATGTGACTTATTGACTTGTTCAGAGAAGTATGCATAGAGTGGGTGCAAGGACATTTCGCTTACCACTGGGTCAGGGGCATCATCTTCCTTGCACATGACCCATGGGACCCCGGTACCCATTCCAACAGCCATCTTTGCAGCCCAGGTCATGTATGCATAACCAGAAGCCCCAAACGCCTTGCTTTCTGGCTCGTATTCGTTCTCAATCTGAACAAAAAGTAAATTAATCCAAATACAATTAGTGTTACGTATCATCAGTGTGCTCATCTATCCAAACCGAAAACAGTGTCAAGTGGTAACCTAGTACATAGATGTGCTCAAAATTAAGCTGATTGAAATGTTATACAGCAGTAAAAAATAGTAGCAGAAGTTACCTGAGAAAGGATAATGGGGCCACCTTGTGACTCAAACAACTTTTCGTTCTTCATCAACTGGACAACTTTCTGTGTAAATTTTTGCATTGCTGACTGCAACACCAAAAATAAGCAAAACATTAATCATTGATTAATTCACACAATTGACCGAAAACTTCAAGTTTTCAAATTACATATCCTTCCTTCGTAAAAAAAACACAGACCTTAAAAGGCTCATTATCTGTTCTGAAGCTAATGCCTGGAACAAACTTCAGCCAAACTGGAAACCCCCTAAAGAAAATAGAAACATTCAAAAAGAAATTCGTCGACGAAACGAAAAACTGCTGAGAAAAAATGATCATTACCCAAAATTCCATTCTGAACAAATATAAGGACCAATCCGAAGATGAACATAGAGCCCTGCCTTGTGAACCGTCTTTATGAACCGAACCAAATCGTTCCTCCCCTCAAAATTATACTACAACCCAAAAATTGTAAGAACAAGGTATCAAACAGAGAAAGGGATAATGTGCACAAAATTCAGAGTAATGTAAGAAATTGAGTGAAATAAAAACAATGAATACATTGCCAGGAGAAGGTTCATGAAGATTCCAGAAGACATAGGTGTCAATGGCATCCAAGCCACCATCTTTGGCCTTCTGTATAAGACCTTCCCACATCTGCATTTCACTTATCATGTCCAATTAGCAATACGATCATCAAAAGTATGCAAAAGAAATCACATTTGGTCAGAAAAATAGTTTAACATTTATAAAAAAAAAATTTTAAAAAGTGGGCTTTAATTTAGATGGGGACAAAATGGTACCTCAGGAGTACTTCTGGGATAGTGAATGGAGCCAGAGAAGAGAAGTCTCCTCTGCCCATCAATGACAAGAGCCTTCCTATCAAACACAACATTGCACTCTGTCTGCTCAACATACACAGAAGACCACACTATGCAGCAGCAGAGCAGAACCCAGCTCAAAGCTGAGCTATTAGCCCCCATTCTTCTTCTTCCCACTTCCTAGAGAGAGAGAGAGAGAGAGAGAGAGAAATCTAAACTATGGGAAATAATGGGAGAGTGGAAGATTGAAATTTGGTCACTTCATTTTGTCTGGAATGACATTTACTACTGTAGAGATTCACAGTGACATTTGGCTCAAAAGTTGAAATTTAACATGAAAAAACAAGTAAAAAAATGGAGGCAGAAGGCTGGTTTGGTACTGAGGTGATTCTGAAAAAAATTGGTATCAAAAAATGCTGGGAGTTTTTTTGTGTTTGGTAAACATTCAGCTTCAGCTTTTTTTCACATTTTTTGATGAAAAAAAGCCAAAAACAAGAAGCTGCAAAACCCAGCTTTGAAAAACCGACCTTTTTTTCACATCTATTTTACATATAAGTTTACCAAATACTATAATACTGTTTTTTTTTTCAAAAGCATTTTTATATAAAAGTTAACCAAATACTCTATAGCTTTATTTCACAGCCGTTTATTATCACAGCACAGCAGAAACAGCTTTTTTTCAAAGCACATCAATACCAAACCAGTCCGAAATCTGTTGGAAGGAAGCAGCAAAAGTTGAAGGTCTTAACTTGAAGGAAAAATACAACAAAATGCGTTTGGGCAAAAAAATGAATGGAGCGCAATGTGTGCGATATGGACTGAACTGGAGGACACAACCCATCTGCGTTCTGCTAATGGCTGCATGCTGGAAATTGGAACGAAACAATAATTTTGGGATATTTTAGAAGTACCACATAATGTCACTTCCTCTTCATTCGTAAGTCAGAGGCTCGAATTTCATAGATGACGAATTCAATACTAAATTAGATTACTCATTGTGTAACTTCTCCTTAGTTAAAATATATCGTTGTACTAAAAAAAAAAAGTATCTATGATATGTCCGTCATTACAGGGGAAATCATGAAGATGTTTCTTTCGCGAAAAAAAAAAAATATGCAAGGTACTATAATGGTCTAGTAATATTCTTCTTTAATTGTAAGTGAACGATTTTAGGTTCAAATCTTGTGGATAACGAATTTGATACTATATTAGGTTGTCCATTATATAGTTTAGCCGAACTATCCATCTTAATGTAAAATATATCATTGTACTAAAAAAGAAAAATACCCCATGAAACATGTCCTTAATTGCTGGGAAAATAATGAAAATGTTTCTTTCGCACAAATAGAGACATTTTGTCATGTACCTGAAATATGAGTCGAGTACATTAAGTAGATACAATACAATTTTTAATGTTTTTCTACTTTTATTATGATACGTAATGTCCCGACTCGTTCTCTAGTTCCACAAAGAGGAAGGAAAACCTCATCTCAAAAAATAAATTCTCCCTCCAAAAGCCAAATTTAATTCAAGATTAGTATCCAATGGTTCTGTTTCCCTCCAAAAGCCAATCTTACGTTATAGTGCTTGTGGTTCTCAAGGAAACACATGGGACAGGGTAGAGGTGGCATCTCGACTCTAGTACCAAAACTGCAAAAATCCATGGCTGCGTCTGCCATAAGAAAGAACAAAAAGATATTAATAATAAAACTTCTTAACGTTTCTCTGATCAATAATTTCGAATTTTCACGAGAAAAACTTGCTTACAACAAGATAATTTCATCAATAATAAGCTTCTAACTCATTTTTTTCTGGATAGAAGCTTAATAATGACAGTATTATGCTTTTTAAAACAAACTTGTGACTTGTACATTATTGATACGATTGATGTGATTTTTACCACACAAACCCTAAAAAAAAATTATATAATTATGTTTAGGGGTGTGCTATTCACATATCTCTTTTTACTTCTTACATACCCTTTGTTAATTTATATTCGTTAATATTCTTCAATTCATACAATCCGACGACCGAAAATTAGAAAGATGTGTGAGAAGTAAAAATAGGTGTGTGGATATCACACCTCTATGTTTATAACAACTCATCTAATAAGGTCGAGAAATAGAAAACAAATTGAAATAGTTAGCAAGTCATGTCATTGATATCTGATGTCAATTAGGAGTGGTTATTCCTAACTTGGTTAATTAACTTTGTTGGAGTCAAAAAGTAGGGGAACATAGGATCCTTGGTTTGGTCCCTTTTTTGCCTATGAAAGTGTGCCTCTTTGGACAAAACAAAAAGGGGAATTTGGCTCTTTGCATGCATTAGTGCCCCTATTTTCCTTACAAGCAATACTCATATGCTTATGTTTGATTGAGCGTAAAACTTTAATTGCATGGTCAAACACTCTTAATTATTTGAAGTTGTTCGTGTTTCATGTCTTTTCTCTCCGTAATTGTACACATGAGGACTGCATTTGTTAAACTATGATTTTTTTTTAATTCTAAAATGTAATATTATCGAGGGCATACATGTACAAACGATTAACCGAAACCATTAGGATTTAACGGAGAGAACAACCGCGGTATCCATCCCTACATGCAGCCTTATGCCCTGTTTTCTTGGTTTCCCACTAGGAGTTGTTTGTTGCACTAGGTAGTGGTAGACAGCAAGTTGTCAAACCCTAGCAGCTGAACAGTTGGCATGATAAACTGATAAGGTAAACTGATCAGGGTCTGTTTGGTAGCACCGTAGTGTTTTGTTTACTAAAATGTCGGTAAAAGAATCATTTCACTCCTTAACTTTTTCTGGCGCTTACTTACACATACAGAATCGGAAAGCACGTAATTTCCGTTAAAATCTGTAATCAAATACCTAAAAGTAGAAAAATGTAAATTTCATGCTAACCAGTATTGTCAAAATTTAAACACTGAGCAAAATTTATAGCAACCGTATATCCAGCAATTGGTTTTACGGTTTACTCTCTTGAGAGATTTATCATCATGGAATTCTACAACATCAACGAAAAATTATGATTGGAACCATTTTCTAAGCTTCTTGGAACCTTGCTTTTCGCCATCCGTTTGGGCGGAGCTCCGTTGTGAGTGCTTGGATCTATATTGTTCGATCAGCAGGTCGAGTTTATCCACAACGTCCCGCCCTAATGGGTCTTTATTTTTCTTTGGCCTTTTTCTCCTCGTTTCATTCTCTCCGCCCTCTACTTCTTTCTGCGCTTGCAGCTTCCTCTTTTGAGGTTGTACATTTGCCTTTCCCACGGATTTTGATTTTTGTGCATCAATGGCCATGGATTCACGTCCGAATGATCTCCCACGACCACCAGGCTTTGCGCCATCTTGATGATTGTTTGGTTCATGTTTTGAGCTTTCCGAATTCTCTGTTGAGCCTCCTGATACTTTTGTTGATGAGATCTTCTTTTCCTTTCCGAACGGACCCTGTTTCTGCCTCTTAGGAGCTCTCAGTTGGTCAGTGGCAGTTCCATCACCAACCCTGTTTTCCTCTTCATCTTCTTTATTTGGTACTGATTCATCCAGACTTTGCTCGTCAACACTTTGTTTCCGTTTGTTGAACTTCTTGCTTGGATCAGCATCTGGTCTATTTGAGCCATCCTTTTGCTGTACACCTGGATTACGACGAGCTGCATTCTGCTGCCCTTGAATCTTAGCATTTCGTAATTTCAATTTCTGGACATTATCCAGTGCAAACTCCACAATTGGGCGATGATCAGGACCAAAAGTTCCTACAAGTTGCATCACATTAATTTACAACACAATGGATTCAATGCATTCGATATCTATTCCCCAACATAAAAGGACTGGAACTGAGACTCCGGTATAAAGATTTACTATCACCGGTGTCTTATGTCAACGTGAATTATGCAATTCCGCTGAAGAAGTAACTTACCAGGATTGTTATTCAGAACTCTGAGGGCCACAAGTGCATGCTGATGCTCTGTAAACTCAACAAAAGCAGCTCCACGAGAGTGATTCTTTGTGTTTAGCTTTCCTTTCTTCACATCCTCCAAGAACTTTATCTGCATGCTCAATGCCAAATATAAATAAGGGAAAGTTTCTTAAAATGTAATAAACGAAAAAACCGTAACAAATAGAGACAAAAGTTAACTACTAATTAACCTGGCGAATAACAGGTTTTTGTTTTGTAGCTCGTGAGGTAACTGCATCAATACAAAGTCTTTTTAGTTCCTTTTCATTCATGGACTTTGGCAAATTTTTTATAACTATTCTCGTCTGGGAAACGTGAAAATTTGGAGATTGAAGCTTCGACATCTTGCTTCTCTCCGCCCTGCATGGTTTCAGAAAATCATTAAAACCTGACCCAAAGGAATGTGAAACATCATGAAGTAGCAACAGAATAATCAGCATTCGCTGTTAAAAGCTATGGAGTCTGATGTTACTTCTTGACAAATTACCAGATTTTTTAAAGCTTGTGGAAGTTTTACCAGGTTTATAATTCATGTAAAAAAGTTAAATACAGGCTGAGAACTATAAAACAGGAGAAAACCCATACAAATGGTTTTTAAGAAGAAAAAAAATCTATAAAGTCAGTAACTAAAACGTAAATACATTACTACAAGGACCAAGAATGGATAATGATATTACAAAAGATTGTATTAATTTAATCAGAGATTTTGTCCGGAGACAATCAGGTGAGAACCAATTGAACTGTGCTCCAAGCATCCAATGGACAAAGTATGCATAAGCAATATGCAAGCGAACAAAAATATAAGCAAAACTTACATTTGGCGTTTCAACATATCACTAGCTGAAACCCCTTTTGCAGCTGGAGTTCCCTCAAGAACAAGACCTTCCTGTTAATTTTGAGGAAAGAAAATGCCAGCCGTTCAGGACAATCCGTTCAAATAATCACCACACACAAAACACTGTAGAATCAAAATAAAGAAGGAAGGGGGGAGGAGGCTTGTAGAAGAAATAACCTTTGCTAGATAGAGATTGCGGTGGTCTAGGTCCTCTTTCTTGGCCACATTTAATTCCTTATCATGAGCTGACTTTTTATCCAAAGCCTGCAACACTGTTAATTGTCTACCTTTCAGAGTAATTCCCGAGCCAGATTCCGCATTCCCAGCTGAAACGGCAGAACTGGCTCCATCTTTTGTTTTGAACCTGAGAAAGCCAGATCCTTTGGGTCGCCTGCCACAACATGATATCAGAAGTAGTTTCAAACATAAAAGGATGCAGGAGGAATCATATCAAACTACAAATAAAACATACTTGGTGACTGGATGAAGGACTGGGACAAAAGAGTCAACTTTCCCAAAGGTAGAAAACCTTTGTTTGACATCTTCATTAGTGATCTCAAAAGGAAGATTGCTTATGAAAATTGTTCTATGCAAATCTTCTACTTCGTCTGCCTGTTCAAGATTTGGTACCGTGCTTGTACTTAACTTTCCAGGCTCAGTAACGTCTGATGCTTTTGCAGTCTCAAGAGATGAGTTATTAGGCTCATCAACAGATTCATCAATAAGATTTGATGCCGTGGTTTTGCTTTTATTTCCAGGCTTATCAAACTCTGATGCTTTTGTAATCTCAGAAGACATTTTCTTCGGCCTATTAGGCTCATCAACAGATTCATCGATAAGATTTGATGCCGTGGTTTTGCTTTTCTTTCCAGGCTTATCAATCTCTGATGCTTTTGTAGTCTCAGAAGACAATTTCTTAGGCTTGTCAACAGACATATCAATAGATGACTCCTTATTCCTTTTGGGCAGTGTGGAATCATCATCAGGAGTTGCTATACCAGAGGGTGTGATGAAGTTTTTTAGAACTTTCCTTGCAATGTCTGCTTCCTCTTCAAAATTAATTTCAGTAGGGACGTCCTTTTTCTCTATGGTGTTGTCATCTAGAGCATTGTCTGCTCCATCATGGTGGTGGGATTTTTTACCGACATCCCCAGCATCATCCTCAAAATCATCACTGCTACTGTCACTTTCCCCATTTCTTTCATCCTCTTGTCCTGTAAAATGAGAGCTTTAACATCATAAAAATGTAGAAGCAAATACTAAAAATAAAGTACATATTTATCAATAAAATCGTTCAACATAAAAAAGATTTCGAATATCACAAAGTAACTCAAAATCAGGAGTGTAAAGGCATCTTTTAGAACATTATGAACAATTAAATGCATTTTATTAATCAGACACTCTGTGAATCATCTTATCATCATCATTCTGTTTCACAAAGAACAAAAACACAAAATGTCAGTTGATTACTCAGATACTATTGATTATTACTCCAAGATTCTACACGAAACAGTAGGACAAAAGTTGCTAAATGAGAAAGAAGTTACAGCAATATAACAAGTACCATCTGCTGAAGCAAGGGCATTATTGCCACTACCATATATCTTCTTTGAAACAGCCCAGTCAACAGCTATGGATCTTTTATGAAGCATTTGTCCATTTAGCTTTTTTATTGCCTGAGAAAGCAAAGGAAAAATGTTAGCTCACGTAACTCAGCACAAGAACCCACAGTTTAATTATGTACTCCAAAAGTAAAGCATGAATCTCAATGTACATTTTCCGCATCCTGTTTGCCTGTGAATTTGACAAATGCAAAACCTTTAGATAACCTGCAAACAAGGAATATAAACAGGGATGAAGAAATAGAGAACATGATATTTCATTGAGAAAAACAATACTGGATGATGGTAATATACCCTGTGTTAGGATTATGGGGAATAAAAACATCCCATACAAACCCTGCTGATGAAAACATGTCTTTTATTTCATTCTCTTTGGCCTGCGTTTGGGTAAGAAAACAATCAGTTTAAGTTCTCCTACGAACAAAATGTCATATGAAGATACAGTGAGCAAAAAACCTTGAAAGGAAGATTTCTAACAATGAGCTTCCACTTCTGAGTCTTGGAACCCTGAACAAACAAAAAGAATCCAGCTGTTTAGAAGCAATAAAATAGCACCACCACCAATAACATGAATAACAAAAATAACATCACTAACGTAACAACCCATAATGCTACGTAAATGACTAATTTGAATAACAAAAAAAAAATCCGGATTTTATCTTTTATAAATCTAAATGCTGGTTTGGTCCTTCCATGGCCTGCAAAGTTAAGAGCCTATCAACGTTAGTATAATGTATACTTGTTTTTATTTCTGATCCCTGCAGTTCCCTAACAGATAATGCTAAAAAACATATTACATTCTTGCGTCATCTTTTTTATTTTTCACTGAACCATAGCCAAGCTCAAATAGAACTAAATTTGAACTGGGAAGAATCCAAAGCCAAAATTGCATTGAAACAATGAAGCAATGAAACTCCATGAATTGGTTCAAATTCAATTAAGGAATGTCTAAGCTAGATCAATTCAGCTTGAAATTGTAGTAAGCAGTACACGTATAATTTACCTCCCCACCCAACTGACGTGCCCAAACAATGCCGCCTTTTATTTCTTTTTGGTGTAACATAGAAACAGAAGCATGAGCTGATCTGACACTGTTATAAAGTACAGATGAAGCATCCATTTTGCATCCATCTTGCACAAGACCTGAAAAACCACCACATATGGTGAAGACAAATTTACTTTTAAATGAGTGCACACGACAACTTTTGTCTGTCTAGTAACATTGAAGTTTCAAATTCCAATTAGGAAAGCATGTAATCAACTACAACAGCCAAACTAAAAGTATCAAGTGTTTCCCTAGAGTAGTTTGTTGCAACTATCATGTGAGTATTGATTATGTAAATTTAAATCGAGTCATCCGAATTGCAAATTATACTTAATGATGGATACTTAAAACGTTAGTTTATCAAGAGAGCCAATCCATTTTGTAATTTAAATGTCATATGCAAAGGAGAGTGTGAGACAGAAAAGTCAGACATAGACTGAAAACAAAGGAGGACAATTGTGGTACTCTTTAAAACTTATATTATGTTGAGGCTTTTATAAAAGATGAAGAAATAAAAAGGAATCAAAGGCAAAGACAAATGAAAAGGGAATCTAGGACATTGATGAATAGCATGTTTAAGAGAAGCATGACAGAGGGAGTGAGAGAAGCATGACAGAGGGAGCGGGGACAAGATCAACGCCTCAAATGCATCATTTTCCATATGAATATAAGCATGTCTTCATATTCCCAATAATCCCTTTATTTTAAGGTTTTTATCGCATATGGTCCCTTATGTTTTGGCAACTCATCACTTTGGTCCTTTATGTTTCAAACTCATCAGTCTAGTCCTTCATCTATTGCTTTGATCATCAAAATTGTCCCTGCCAAGTACTTCCATTAAAAGGTCTGTTAGCGTGCTGATGTGGCATTGGCATGGGACCCACAAAATCAATCATGTGATGCCACATGTATTCAATATAAAAAATAAAATAAAAATCAATTTTCAAAAATAGTATAGAATTTAAAAAATACCTTAAAATTTTGAAAACTGAAAAAGATTTAAATGAAGAGGAAGGAGTGGGTTGGGGACGGGGAAATCTGACTGGGTGGGAGGGGGCGACGGCAAGAGAGCCAGAGAGGGATAGGGAGAGCGGGTCAATCTGGGCGATTCTAATGTCCTAATAAATGAAGGCTTTCTCAATACATGGGGTATATTGGTTGGGGAAGGGGCGAAATCTGGGTTAGGAATGGTGTGGTTGGTGGTTTGCAGAGAGGGAGAGTGAGGTGGCTTCCTTTTTCTATTTTTCCTTAATTCAGAAAAAGCCAAACAAAGCATTATAATTTCTGCTTACGGACAAGCGTTTCTCCAGCAAAAGCAAAATCATGGACACCTAACCAATTAACAGAAAACTATAGATGGTCTCTTTCTCGCATGCTAGATTGCTAGTATGACCCAGTGTTAATATACAAAAGGTCAAAAAAACATGCAGTCTTTTATCAACAGAAGAATGAATCAATAGACCATGGAATTGTGATGAATGAGGGATGGATGTCTCCATCAGGTTCTTCCCCTCAGAAGCACAACGTTTTAATTTTTTTTTAATTTTTACCATAGTTTTTATTAAAAAAAAATATTATTTTGGTTTTATCTGTCTTAATTTGTTTTGTGGGCCCCAGACAAATGCCATATCAGCACCCAGCAGACTTTTTAATGGTAGTAGACGGAAGGGTCAATTTTGATGACTAAAGCAATAGATGAAGGACCAAACTGATGAGTCTGAAACATAAAGGACCAAACTGATGAGTTGCCAAAACATAAAGGACCATTTGTGATAAAAACCCTTTATTTTATCATCCTAGAATTCCGTTATGCTTGTTGACCATCTTTCCTTTTGGTTCAAAACAATCATATTTTATTCTTCAGTCTGCATGAGTTTTCCTATGTTTCTCGTGTTCTACATTAACTGGGAAATCCTAGTGTTTAGCCTCCATATGGATATGAAGAAATTCATTGAGTATGTCACACAAATTACACATGCAGCATATATATATTGCAACTTTCCATGTGCTTGTCCATGCTTCATGCATTCCAATGAATTAAAAGAGAGACAGTAAAAAGAATCTTGTCTCAGAGGTTTGTGTGTGACGTACATACGGTTGTAGAACTACCAACAATTGTTTACATGAATGCAATGCCAATAAATTGGGAACAGCATAATATACGAAGTCAAAAATTTACAGGAATGGCTAGTAATATTCTCCATAACAACAACTTCCAGCAACAATAGCCAAAGAAAACACTGACAAAATCAAACAGTTTGCACCTCATAATATTAAACCAACTAACCCACCAGCGACAATGGCTAATAAAAAAAATGACAAAGGAAAAGAATTTTCATGTTTCAACTCAAAATATTAAACCAACTAACCCCATTTAATTTGAAAATTAAAAGAAACTTGCAGGTGGTAGTGGCAGGGGAAGAAACAAAACGAAAGAAAATTCCCTTACCATGTTGTTCAAGCTCTTCTTTGGGAAGAGGATAAGTGATGGAACATACGTCCCCAATCTCCCTAGCTCTGCGATGAACATCTTCTGCCATACCAGCATTAAGAAGACCACCAAATATGACAGTTCTAGCAACCCTACACAACAACAAGAGATTAAGTACATCAGAACACATTTCTGGAAACTGATGCTATCAATTGACTTTCTTATCTCAAAATTACCTACCTCTGCTTTTCTGAACCACCCACTTTTGCCACTTGATCATTACTCAGTGCTGCTGTTTTTCTAGTCTTCACGGGTTTCTTTGTATTTTTTTCCAAAGTAACAACTACAAATAGCTAAGCAAAATGAGTGAAATCTACAATAGCTAATTTTTTTTTTTTTTTGGTGATTACAATAGCAGGATTCAAATGTTAAGATTATTTACCTCTTTCCTGAGATTTTGAAGCATCCTTTTCCCCTTGGGGATTTTCACTATCCTTGTCATTTTCTGTTTTCACGGTCTCATCCACGTCAATTCCTAAGACCAAAAGGTAGTAAGAAAACAAACCAAATTTGCAGAAGAAGTAGCTAAGACTATTAAAAACCTGTTGGAAACAGAGGAAAGATGCAAAAGAAATGAGAAATGAAGGGGAGATGTGAGCAGTGAAGAAGAGAGGAAGGAGAACACACAAGGAAATTAATTTAAAGGTGTTTTCAGTTTTTGTTTACTAAAGAAGTCTCTGTATTTTAGTCCCCTCTTCGTCAACTCTATCATCTTTCTTTCTTATCACTTTCTTCTACCTTTTCCTTCTGTATTTTTAATTACAAACAAAAACATTACCAAGCAGACCATAAGATATTTTCAATTCATGTGCCCTTCAGTTTAATTGTACATACGAACCTTGATTAGTCTTTGGCCTTCGTTGTTCAAGTGGAGCACGATGCATGGCATGTTTAGCTGCAATTTTTCGACCTCCAATGGACAAACCATTCTTTAGCTCAACAGCACGATTAGCATCTTCTATGACAGCACTACAAATCGATGCAAAATACAAACAAAAATGTTCAAAAGTTGCAACCACAAACCCAATTTTATAGGCTCATATTGCTGCAATATCTCCTGCAATATCTCCTAAGTAAAACTCCTGAATAAACCCTTTAGTCCCCAAAAACATGTCAAGAAATTTCAAAACAAAAAATTTTATCTTGTTCTTCATGATTTTTTTCAAACAACATTTTATACTAAGGGGTAGGGGGATTTGTGCTAGGCCACACAATGCGCACGTCATCATATCATGGTATTGTTGACAACAGAAAAAAATAATAATGTGGTATTGAACTCACCATCTACGGTAATCAGACCTAAGACCTACCACTTATAGGTGAATAGGAATAATACCAGTGGCCATCATGATTTTCTAATTCAAAGTAAAAAAACTAGCCTAACTTGGGAAACATAACAATAAAAAAAATGATCCATAATATGGGAAAAACAATGAACTTGACTTACAATTGAACAAAACCAAAACCACGGTGCTCAGTTGACCCTGTAAACAATGTAATGAGATGAATTAGAAACATTTTGACTTAACTGTTAAAAACCAGGTTAAATCCACGAAATAAATAATAAAAAATCTGTTGATAACCAATATAAGGAAATGAAAATCATATGACACATGAAATCTCATTTTGAAACAAGTTATTGATCAACCTTCTTCTTGTTGTGTTCAATCATTTCCACAATCCCTCATAGCAAATAATTTATAAGACACACACTTTACTAATAATTTTTCGATCACTTCTTTCACTTGTTTCATGTTGTTTTTGTTTAAAGCATGCTTGTACCTCATACCCAAAGTGATTTTACTTTACCTGATAATTGCGGTTGAAGAGAGGTTTCCATTTTTTTTTTTGTCGAGGTAATTTACTGTTATGTTGTTTAGTTCAATATGAGGGAGGAATTGCTCTTTGTGCTCATGGAGGTTCCTATATTATTGTTGGCCACTCACTGTGATCCTTACGTATAGGCAAGGGTCAAAGCTGCTTAGGAGGAAGCTCCCCATACAACTGATCGGCTAAGACTCTTCTTTCCTAAAGAGCATTTGAATATAATGCCCTTCTTAAAGTAAGTAAAGTTCCAGTGCTAGGGCATACCTATAAAGTTAACACTCAAATATCACCTCAAGCTAAGGAAAATTTCTAGCTGCAATTAATTCTAGGACAAAAACCTCCCGGCATAACATCTACACGAAGGGTGTATGTGAAGAGATGTTAATAGGTGGCAGACCCTCTAATCTCCCTCTCCAACTTGAATAAGGCTCAATTTACACTGTTCTGAGCACGGAGATGGGGTCCGCTATGAATATAGTGAGAGTGATCTCCAATGAGTACGAGAATCTCCTTTCCATTTTTGGGTAACTTTTCCTTTGAAGTGCTAACAAACACTACACGTGGTTATATAGGGTGGACATGTTGTCAGTTCTAAAACCTTGTTTTAGCAAGGGAGGATTGCTTTCTGAAAATGGTGTTGTGGTGATTCAACACGGCAAAATCTAATCATACTTTGGGGTGTGCTACTACATTGGGGGTTTGTCAAGTAATCAAACTTAAGCTCTGAGCCCTATTCATTGCCTTGAAGTATATTCTGCAGATGGTGTGGCTTTGATACAACACGGGCAGATAATTACCATTCCAACAAGGCCACACAAATCTAATCATGGGATGCAGAAAACTTATCCAAAAGCATTAGAAGCACACCACCCCGCCCCCCCCCCCCGGGGGGTACATATGCTGTTAGTTAATTTGGTTTCTTTTAGGGCTCTGGCTCGCCCTTTACAAAAATTAGATATTAACAAGACAACAGGAAACAAGCAAAAGTTCTCCGAAAAACACCAGTGTCAGAACTAAAAATCAAATAGTAAAGTTCCATTTTTTGCAACATTTTCGGCTTACCCTTCTTCATAACCAAAAAGCACCGCCTAATCGGTCCAATGTCGCTGAACGTCTCTTCCAGCTGAAATTCAAAAGAAAAACAAACAAATTAAAGAAATTTGCATTACGAAACAAAGCAGAAAATTAAAATTTAACACCAGTTAGAACAGAAATCGTATGAACAGATTGTAATTCAACAATTTAGCTAATTCGAGTGATTCGATTTCAGTAAAGGAAGAAAGAAAAATGCAAAACTGGGGGTGTGGGGGTACAAGAAAGAGCACCTGAGATTTGGTGAAAGAAAAGGGGAGATTGGAGACGAAGATGGTGGAGGGGGAGTGCTCGCTTTCGGTTCTCGGTCGGCCGCCATCGCCATCTTTGCTTTTCTTCTTCCCCATCTCTGTTTTGTTTTGCAGCTATGAACTTTTGGACCTAAAACCTCAGGAGGGAAACAAAGGAGGGTTTCTTCGTTGTTTGTTTTTTTTTTTGGTCAATGAGAGAGAGGGTTGAGGTTGAATTTTGGGCCTGGCCCATGAACAATATGGTGTTGGACGGGTGGATATTAAAGTGGGCCTAAAACAAGTGCACGACTTGTACTTTTGGTTATGGTATGTGAAAGGATACTACCACGCTTCTTCTCTTAGGAACTTGGAAGTAAGAAGTTTTACATCCTAAAAATTTGTGTGAAGTAATTTGTCTTTTGTGTGTTTTTGATGAGTTATTTCTGCATACATGTCAGATTGTAGTTTGCAAGAAGTAGAACATAAGAGTTCTTGCTTCCAAGAAAGGAGCCGTAATGTCCTTTCTAAAACGAGTGGTGTTATACACGTCTTAACACAATTACTCCACTCATATTCCATTACGAAAATCATTAGTCTTTTGTAATACTCTTTAGATGACATATTTAAAGTCCGTTTGGAAATGACTCTGGCACTTCTAAAATCACTTGTGGGAGTGATGTTTAAGTGATTTTATGAATCATATGGAAAGTTGCTTCTTCTCATAAGTGATCATGTCACTCTCATACTAACCACTCTAAACGATTCTTAAACAAGATAGACCACATTAACAAATATAAAACCGATTAACTATTTTTCATCCGTAAATAATATTGTACATTGAATTCATCTATATTTGGAGATGGAGATTTGAACTTACATGCAGAGAAAATAACACACCGTTCTAACCAATTTGGCTCGGTCCAAATATGTTAAAACCAATTAACTATTGAATTCTAGAAAAGTGGTTGATGACCATGATTTTTGTAGTCAAATGATGATATGGATTTGGGAAGGGTAGTGTGCTATCCACACACCAATTTTCACTTCTCACACACTTATCTCAATTTTCGACTATCAGATCGATTAAATTGAAGAATATCAATGATAAAACATTAACAAGGACATGTGGGAGGTAACAATGAGGGTATATAGCACTATCCTCTGTGGAAAACGATCACATGATCTTTGAAGTACTTCTGATTGATGGACACCATTTTATCCGAGAGAAAGAGTTACAAAAATGGAGTTCTTCCCCTTTAAGTATGAGGTTTAAATTAGGTGGTGTCACGTGCGCTACCTTATATAGACACTTTGAAACATGTGGTATAAATAAGTAAATAACACAACATTGTCGTGTACAAAAATTTCAGCTTACAAGCTAATAACCAAAACATTGTGACGGTCAAGTCCTTTGTCTACCTATTTTCACGTACATGGTGAGTCGTGATTAAATAACCATGGGACCATGGTCCATGGCTCCAAATATTTTCATGTAATTCTATTATCTGAGGATCATATGCAATTATTATTTTTTACTTTAAATACATAAAATTACGAGATTGAAAATACACTTAAAATTAGTACACATTGACTTTTTTAATGTGCCAATATCAATGCCCTCGGCGTTATTATTGAAAGAGCTTGTGTATTGCATAATGCTAAGTTTACATCCGACTAACTTAATGTTTTCCAAAAAATTTCTTCTCTTACAAGTAAAGCATAGAAGAATACAAAATGAGTGTTAAAATCACTAGTTAAAATCAATAATTAATTAGGCCAATATGCTCGATAAACAAACTTTTGATCGAAAACAACATCATATTGCAACTTATTTATTTATTTATTTTTTTTAACAAACGATATCTTCTACACTAAAGGGGAATGGGTGGGCTGAGCTTCATAATGGGCTAGCAATAATATGGTTTAAATTCGCCTTTGGCGAGTATCGAACCTAAGACCTCCCACTAACAGGTGAAGAAGAATACCACTAAATTGTAGTACTAAGTAGCTTTTAATAGACCCTATTTACTTGATCAGATATATTATCGACTATCGAGTATTAGATGAATGCTCTTATTCACTTGATCTCCAAGGCATTTACGCTTTTACTATTTTATTAATGTGTGACAGTTTAATCGTCCTAAAAGAAGGAATTGTTACTTGTAGAGTGAAAAGGTGAATCCTAGGGAATTAGAAAATTAATAAATAAAAGGATGGCCCAAGCTGAAGATTAGGTAGGAAATTTGCAAATGTCCAAATGGGCCGAATGCATCGAACGAAAAAAGTGGAGACACGAAACCTGAGACAAAGAAAGCCTAATGGACTTTTGCGTCCAATATGGGACCCACAAAACTTTGTATGGTGGGGACTCTTATTCACGTCATAGATCACGTCATAAGCATCCAGTGTGCACTATGAAGCCGTTCTCCCCTTTACATACGCAACACTTTTTCCTATTATTTTCTTGGGTTTTTTTCGTGAGCCACACAACACAGACACCATTTTTTTTAATAAGGTGTCGTTGTTTTAAACCGTATTATTTTAGTTTATTATGAGGTTTACTTTATTTATTTATTTTAATTTAGATAATATTGTTTGTTTTTTTTTTTTTAAATAAAAAAAGTATCAGTTGTTGACTTTCTAAAAATAATTTATTTCTATAAAATTGGTATTTTTCACATTTTTATATATTTAAAAATAAATTTTTTAGAGTTTTTTTTTCTTATCAATAGAGATGCTATAATTTGAACATAAGAATTCTTTTAATAGTTAGTTTTTCTTGTAGGGTAAGCTGATATTAAAAGCTAAGATGCATCCCCCATTTAATACCATTCAAGTTAAGTGAGAGCGATAGGTTGAACTCGAGAGCTCTATCTAATAGTTCAATCCACTATTTGCATGTTGTTTTTATTAGGCCTGGCAATTTATTGCACAACTTGTTAATCTGACAAGAAAATAATATGTTATTGGTCAACCTTTTAACTAGTCAGGTCATTATTTAGTCACCCATTAAAACCCAATAAGATACTGTTTGTTAGTTCTATACATTAGACATAACAATTTCTTACATGACCCGTTAACCCAACATGAAACGGCAAGACCCATTAACAAATTGGGTCGTTATCGTGCCATATGTTGAAAACCCATTCGCTTAACTGGTTGACACAACACAACCTGTTAAACGACACTAATACGACAAAAACAACTCGTTTTCCATGTCTAATTTTGATTATAAAAACAAATCTATCTTGATAACAACTTGTAATAAAATTAAAATTCCCCTCAAATAAATTATTTTAAAACTCTGTTTCATACGCTAAACACATAAATATACGACAATATTTTTTTTTTAAAAATTTAAGTCACGAATTAAACTCTAAACCTATCATATTCATCCAACATTTCTGATGACCCTAAAACCTAAAAGAGTAACAAACCAAAATATTTAAATGCCCTACTTTATTACTTCTAAATCCATACCAATCCATACAGCTACTACTTTATTACCACAAATCTTATTTGTGGCATTCCATCATAATTCCACGTGTCACCTAGTTTATAAATATCCAAAGGACAATGATTGTCTGCCCTCCTAGTTGTGGTCCCCTTCCATGCCCTCTTATTTTGTGCGGTCACGGTTAAGCCATGTCAATATTTTATATTTTTATTATTTTTTGTTTTATTATCTTATTAAAAAATTAATATAAAATATTGACGTGGCTTAACCGTGACCGCACAAAATAGGAGGGCATGGATGGGCACCACAACTAGGAGGGCAGACAATCCAAGCTCATATCCAAACGGTTGTTGTCAACTGACTAAGCCAAATTCCACTGGCTTTTGATTATTATATTCTTTTTCTAGACTAAGTTATTCTACAATTAGCAACTGAGCTGCACAAACAAGGGATTTGGGTTCTGTTCGGATTCTCATATTCTATTCGTTTATCGTGATAAAAAATTATTTTAAATTATTTTATTTAAAATTAAATACAAATAATACCTAATAAAAATTGATCGCACAATACACAATGAACAAATAAAATGTAAAGATCTTTAGGATCCTCGTAAAGATGATTGGGAGAAGATCATCATCCACAAACTGGATAACAGTTGGCACCTTTTTATTCTTAAATCTCCTAATTTTTAATTAATATGTTGTATAATAAAGGATAAGGTGGCTAATCACAAGTTAAACAATCAATAATTACATATAAAACCAGCTTAGTTTTGTGGATTTCATTTGGTTTATTTATGCTGGAGACCTGCGTGCCGGCTAGAGTGTTGTCAATTGGGGTGGGGTCCCATTAGGCCTGGCAAACGGGTCGTGTCTGTCGTGTTCGTGTCGTTTTCGTGTAACACCTGTTATCTTAACGGGTCGTGTCGTGTCACACCTGTTATCTTAACGGGTCCTTAACAGGTCGGGTCACTTTACCCAACGGGTAAAGTGACCCGACCCGTTATGACCCATTATGACCCGTTAAGAAAAATATATTTTTTTCTTAAATTTGCACATACCACACATTACCACATAAATATTACTTCAAAACATTAAAACATATTTGTCATTTAAGTACTACATCTACACTCGAAAATAAGAGCCTAATAAAAAAAACATCCATACACTAGTCTATTACAAAATATTAAATGTGCAAGGATATGCAAAATGAAAGAGTTTTTGTTTTCAAGGTTGTGAAGCCTTTCTCAAAAGTTTAAACCTTGCCAATAGAACTCAAAGTTTGAATGTTATTTCTTTTACAAAATCCTCAATTTTCATCGATCATCATGGGGAAATTGTATTGGAACTTTGGCTTGATCTATTGCCTTCAAGAGTTCTGTTGATGATGTTTTCAGTAAGGTTTTCTACGTCAGAACTCTATTCCGCATAAACTAAGTATAGAAAAACCAAACATTAAAAACCATTCAAATTATACAAACAAGATTGACGGTTGGATCATTGAAATTAGTTTCATAGAATTTTGTATCTCATCCAAACCATAGATACTTAGACTTTATTTATACTTTCATTAAGTATAACATAAGATTTTGTGGTATCCACTTGTGTAAATATTTTAAATTGACGATCGAATTCATTCATTGTATTCGTATAGGGTCAACAAGTGTGGTTGTAAAAAAATCATCAAAAATCGGAGTTAAAAAAAACCGTTAAATCGTGAT